GATTCTCCTTGAGCTACACATGAGGATGGTATATCATGTGCTTCAATACTTAGCTGATAACAGTAAGCCCTATAACTATATTAATTTTTGGCTGCTAGCCTTGCAAATATATAATCCTACCATGATTAAAATATATAGAATTTTATCTTATTAAAAAGAAAAAAAATACAGATACTGTGCAAATCTACTACAAGAAAATTACAAAAGAAAACGAAGAATAATTGGAAATGGAGAAAAACAAAGAATCACTGCATCTCTCACCTGGGGGTTAGGAGGGTCGGCAGGAAAGATGAACGGAAGTATGGTTTTCGGAAAATGGAAGCTTCTAGGACAAAGTTGGGTACTTTTGAAGTCTGTGCATACTGAGTGATTGCTGTCTCTACTTCATCTGCTACCTGGATAAAGGAAAAGAATTCAAAAGTGAAGAAATGGAACTTCTTACATATATCTTATATGCTTATGACTTCAAGAAAACAAAACAGTGATTGTACGAACAATGGCAATGCATAATTTTATCTACAACTTCTTTAGCATCTATCCTCCACCATATAACTTCATAAAAATATACCTTGCTCCCTCACATTTTATATACCTGGAACAACAGCATAACCTTCATATCAATTAATAAATGTTAAATACTGAATTTCCCACTATGCTCCTTATTCCTATTAACCACTTTACTCACTTTCCCACTTATCTATACACTGAATTTCACACATTCTTGAAAACCTACCTTACTCTTTTCCTTCTCTGACTGATGAATGGCAGTGTTTGGGTCTAATGTTTCCTTCAGGTCTTTAAGTCTTGCTCTGGCCAAGTGACAATAATCTCGCAAAATCTAAAGGAAAGACAGTCTATTATATATCAACATGAGAATCATTTCAATAATTTTGATTTCGTTGTACTATAGTTCCCTTAGACATACTAACAACAGAGTACATACATGATCACAGAAATTTTGAACGTCTTACACAAGGCCTGATTTCTAAATTCTAAGAAGAAACATTTAAAATGCCGTGATTTTCACACTTAGAGATACAGGAACTGAAATCTTGCTTTAACCCCTTAACACTGGAGCATATCTTTGATCATGTAGATGACAGACACCAAACTCTCCATGATACAAGCTGATCCAAAATTTCTCAAACACCACAAACTTTAATTTGCTATGCTTTTAATTTAACAAAGCATACCTGCAAGGAATCA